AAAAAAGGATTAGAAAGAATAAAAGGAGACAGGATAGAAGGGAATAAGGAAATAAAAAGAAGAAAGAAATAGAATATTACTAAGCAGGTAAGAAGAGTGGAATGAAAGAAAATAAGAAAGCAAAGGAAGACGAGAAGAACCAGGAGGAGGGAACGAGAAATAGGTAGGTGAAAGAATCGAGAGAAAGGGAAGAGAACTGATAATTAGTGGGGAGGGAGGGAAAAAAACGACGATAATTACTTATAACTATGACAAATTTTGGAAAGAGAAGAGGGAAATTGATAATTGAAATATTAGTAGAAATCAGAATGTAAAGCGAGAGAAGAGCGTAGGAGAGAGAGAGAAAGAAGAGAGGAGAGAGAGAGGAGAGAGAGAGGAAGAGAGAGGGGGAGAGAGAGAGAGAGAGAGGAAGGGAGGTGGGTGTTAGATAATGAGGGGGGTGACCCGTGGGAAGGAATGAGAGTAAAAGAGAGNGGGGGGGTGACGGCGGGAGGGTGACGGTGGGGGGAGGGGGAGTAGCGAGGTGGGGGGGATGGAAGTTGGGGGTTGAAGGATGAGAGAGGAGGTAGGAGTGGGGGTGAAATGGGGGGGGTAAGGGTGACGGCGGGGTGGGGGTGACGGCGGGTGGGGGGAGGGGGATGACGGTGTGGGGGGGGGTAGCGAGGTGGGGGGGATGAAAGTTGGGAGTTGAAGGATGAGAGAGGGGGTAGGAGTGAGGGTGAAATGGGGGGTTAGGGTGACGGCGGGGGGTGGAGTGGGGGGAGTGAAGGATGGGAGAGGGGGAGTAGCGAGGTGGGGGATTGAATGGGGTTGAAGGATGAGAGAGGGGTTAGGAGAGGGGGGGGGGGAGAGACGAGGTGAGGGGGAGTGGGGGGGGAGTAGGGGGAGTGAAGGATGGGAGAGGGGGAGTAGCGAGGTAAAATGGGGTGGGGGTGATGGCGGGGGGAGGGGAGAGTGGCGAAGGGGAGTGGCGAGGTGGAGGGGGGAGTGAAGAATGGGAGAGGGGAGTAGCGAGGTGGGGGGTAGGGGTGACGGCGGGGAGAGGGGGAGTATCGAGGTGGGGTGGAGCGGGGAGTGGGGGAGAGTAAAGGATGAGAGAAGGGGAGTAGCAAGGTGGGGGGAAATGGGGGGAGTGAAGCATGAGAGAGGGGTTGGAAGTGGGACTGGGGAGGGTAGGGGGTGGCAGAAGGGGAAGTGGGATAGGTAGTGGGGGGATTGACGGATGGGAGGAGAGTGGGGAGGGTGGGGGGTGAAGGATGGGTAGGAAGGGGGAGGAGGGAAGGGGGAGAGTAGGAGGATGGAGGATGGAATAGATAATAGGAAGGGTGAGGGGTAGAGAGGGGGGGGAGCTGGATGAGGGGAGAGTGAGAGGTGAGTGAGAAGTAGAAGGAGGAAGAGAGACGAAAGAGAGGAAGAGAAAGAGAGACGAAAAGAGAGGAAGAGGATGAGAGACGAAAAGAGAAAGGAAGAGTGGAGAAGATGATAATAGAAAGAGGATGAGAAGGACAATGGGGATAAGGAGATGAAAAGAAGAAAGTACAGGAAATAAAATGCAAGATGAAGAAGAGGAGAAGAAAGAGAAATGAAAAGTAAGAAAGAAGGAGAAGAAATTGAAAAAGACAATGGAGGCAAACGAAAAAAAGAGAAAAGGGGAAAATAAATGGAAACAGACAAATCAGCGAGAGAAGAAAAAGGAAGAAGAGGAGAAGGAAGAGAAACAAAACGAAGAAATAGAAAGAAAGTGAAAAGACGAAGAGGACGATTTAGGGAAATAAAAGAAAAGGTGAAAGAAAAAGGAAAGACAAAAGGAAGACAGAACAACACGAAGAGACATGGAAAAGAAACCGAGAAAGGTAAAAAAGGAGAGAGCAAGGAAGGAAAAGGAAAATTATAATAACGAAGGGTAGAGTGATGAAAGAGAAGTACAGACAAGGAACAATAAATACTATTAAGATTAAGAAGAACTGAGACAAAGAAAATATGAGAGAGAAAAATCCTACCCAAATTAACCAAAAAAGAAAAAAAAAGGAAGAAACACAATAATAAAGAAGCAGAAATATAAAGAAAATAACAATAAAAAGCAAACAGAACAAAACGGAAAAAAAGAAAGTAGAAAGTAACAATAAAAAAGTAAAAAAGGGGAAAAAAAGAAAAAAAAAAGAAATAAGGAAAGAAGAAAAATAAAAAATAGAAAAATAATAATGAAATTAAAAAAAGGTAAAGAAAATATAAACGGCACCACAAAATTAAATCTAAAAATATAAGGAAATAAAATAGATTCCGAAGAGAGAGAATAAAAAAAAGAAAAAAAATCAACGAAAGACATTGCGATTTCAAGGAGTGATGAAATAAAAGACAAAGGATAAGGAAGGGGAAAATATGAAGTGATAAAAGGAGACGCAAGAAGGGAGGAGTGATAACAAAGGGAAAGGCGAGAAGGAAGATGATGGAGGAAGACTAAAGGCGAATGAATCTCGTGAGAAAGAAAGGACAAGAAATT